CGCGGGGGCCCCTGGAGGCCCCGGCGCTGTGCGGGCGGAGCAGCGGGGGTGTCCCGGCAGCGGCGTGTGCGGCCGGGCCTTGCTTTACAAAGTGTACAGAAATGGCACTTCCGTTTCTCTGATGCTTCCTGGAAGCCATAGAAGTTAGGGGCTTTTTTAAAAAAATAAAGGAAAACGAAACCAGTCCTGAGTGTGGTGTCGGCTGTGTCCAAGAGGCTTGGCTGAGACGGGCCTGCTCCTGGGAGGGACGGGCTAGCTGGTGGTGACAGGTTGGGAAGGAGCCAGGGCGCAGTGGCCCCTCGCCGGGAGGAATGGGCGGTGGGGACAAAGTCTCAGAAGGTAGATGGGAGAGCTGGTGTGGTCTTGTTTGGGGGTGGGTGGGATGGAACGGAGAGGAGCGGGAAGAATTCACAGGCTGCAGGGCAGGAGGTTGTCTCGCTGACTCCCACACAGGGACGCTGGAGACCCGGCTGACAGGGCTCCCTCTTCCAGGAGAACCCAGGTCCCGGCTTGTCAGGAGGGCTGGGTCCTGAGGGACCTGACGGCAGGGGGCTTAGGAGGTGAGGTCTCTGGGGGCGTGACTGGGTCATGAGCGGGGCCTGGATGGGGTCAGTGCTGTAGAAGAGTCGCCAGAGCTCGCCTCTGGTCAGCACGTGCAGGCAGCCGTCTGTGGGCCAGGAAGCGGGCCCTCAGGAGACCTGCCCCTGCGGCCCCTGCCGGAGGACTCCAGCCTCAGGACTGTCCGTGGGGTAAACTCCAGCCCTGTTTCTGGTTGTGGCAGCAGAGCCGCCTTGATGGCGGCCAAGGAGGCAGTGCTGAAAATCAGTGGTAGTTGTTGAAAAGAGCTGAAGAGGAGTCTCAGCTAGTGGACGACCACGGCAGCCGCCTAGCCCACCCACCTTCCGGCGTTTTCTCCCCAACAACACGGAGCCACCCGAAGGGGAGACCAAGTGTGCGCTCAACCCTGCCCACACTTCAGGAGTGAGGGAAGTCCCCGTGCTCCCTTCGGGGTCTGGGCTGCCCGCCCACCTCTGCTCCTCTGCCCCAGCCAGGTGTCCAGGAGCCAAGGGGGAATTCACAGTGAAACCAGCCCTGGTCCTCCACACCCACGGGCGGGAGAGAAGACCCCGCCTCCCCTGGCAGGTACCCGAGAGAGGCTGAGGAGGTGGTGAGAGTTGGCCAGGCAGCATTTGAAGATGTGAAAACCATCTTGGATCAGAAACTCAAAAAGTTAAGGATGGAAGTGGGCAAAGAACAGAACCGAAAATGGCTGCTTGAATTTAGGAAGGAAACGAGAAAAAGTGATTCTGGAAGAGAATAAATTGCAAGGTTCCCCAGACTCCAAGATCGGAGAAGGGGGCTCAGAAGCAGGCGGACGAGCCAGTGAAGCAGGAGTGAAGGGTGTCGGGAGGAGGGTGGAGGCGAAGAAAGAGGCCTGTGTGACTCCGTCTCTGAGGAAGAAATCAGGACGAGGCTAAAACCGCTGTCCAGGAGACATTCCAGATGGAGAGAAGGGCCTGTCGGGTGGGTCTGGGAGAGCTAGAGGACGGCCAGTCCCAGGAAGACAGTTCCCATTTCAAAGACGTGGTGATCCTCGGGGCCTGCAGGCAGAAAGACCAATCCATCCCCCGGGCAAGGGGATTCAGCACCAGAATTTTCAAAAGCAACAGGAAGCCAGGCAACAACCGAGCAGCCTCTTCAACAGTTCCGGACCACGAGCGACAGCAGAGGGCGCCCCGCCGCCAGGCTGTCCTGTCTCATGCCCGGCAGGCCTGCCTGTGGCTTCGACTGGAGGACAAGCTTTGCCTGACTGTGAGCACGTTAATATGTATAAACGTACACCCTGGACTGGAGGAGGGGAGCCTGAGGGTGGGACCAGGGTACCACTTCCGTGATGCCGTGAAGTAGAAATAACGCAACTGTAAAAGCAAGACGAGGAGCGGGAGCTAGAACAAGACCTGTGGCGCTGGACTGGAACCAGGGGATCCGTCCAAACGGTGGTTTTCACCATGTGAACGGGTGGGTAAACGGGACGTGCGTGTGTGTGTGTGTGCGTGTGCTGGCGTGCACACAGCCATGTCCTGCGCCCCCTCAGCCCCACTTGTGCGGTCTGTGCCATTTATTTCACTTCTGATGTAAGTGATTAGCCCACAGTTCTCTGTTATTATACTTGCTTTATAGATTCAAGTCTGTTAAATACGTTTTTTAAGACTTTTATGTATTTATCCACATATGAACATTTTCCAACGCTCTTTATTTCTCCTGCCGACCAGACATTCCTTTCAGCCTGAAGTGCTCCCCTGAATATTTCTTATTATTAATAGTGCAGGTTTGTTGGCAACAAACTCTCTTATCTTTTGCTTGCCTGAAAATATCTTTATTTCGGCTGCATTAACGAAGGATGTTTCTGCTGGGAATGAAATTCTGGGTTGGCAGGTGGTTTTGGGTTTTTTTTTTTGCCTCAACATTTTAAGGACATTATTCCCTTGTTTCTGGTGATAGGTGAGTTGTCATCATTATTCTCTTTAAAGTAATGTATCCTTTTGTCTGGCTGCTTTTAAGATTTTTCTCTTTATCTTTGTTTTGAGGTTATTTGACTGTGATGTGGGGTTTTCTTTGTTTTTATCCTGCTGGGCATTTTGCTTAACTTCTTAGATCTGTGGGTTGATATCTTCCATCAATTTGGGGGAATTTCCTGCTACTATCTCTTCAAGTATTTCTTTGGCGCATTTTCTCCTTTTTCCCCAGGATTCTAGGCACCTGTATGTGGGCCTGAATGATCCCACAGCCTCTGATGCTCTGTTGTGTTTTTTCCCTCCGTGCTTCAGTTTGGATCACTTTGACCTGTCTGTGGATGTACTCATCTCCTCTGTTGTGTTTTGTCTGCTCTGAAGCTGCCCCGTAAATTCTTTTTCAATATTTTTAGTTTTTGAGTTTCCGTTTCTCTCTTTGTAGAGTTTGTTTCTCTGTTGCAGTCCTCCATCGCCTTGCCCCTCTGCCCACGTCCCCCTGTAACAGATTTATAACAGTGATTTCATCATCCTCGACATCGAATTCCAGCATCTGCGTCCTCTGTGGGTCTGCTTCTCTAGGCTGTTTTCCCCTCTCTCTTGATGATGGGCAACATTTTGCTGCTCCACGTGTCTCCTAACTTATGTTGCATTCCAAACAGTGTGTGTGAAAGCAGCAGCAGACGTATTTCCCCCTAGAAAATGCACACTCGTTCCTCAACCAGGCAGCCTGGATGCGGGGCTGGTCTCATGAGGGGTCGAGCTGGCTAACTAGGCTGGCTGTCCACTGTGTTAGCTTCAGTTCCAGCCCAGGTGTCTTCAAGTTTGTTTTGGCCTGTCTCGAGGACTCTGGTTTCTTTTTTTTTTTTTTTTTTTTTTATTTATTTTTTCCCCCGAAGCCCCAGTAGATAGTTGTATGTCACAGTTGCACATCCTTCTAGTTGCTGTATGTGGGACGCGGCCTCAGCATGGCCAGAGAAGCGGTGTGTCGGTGCGCGCCCGGGATCCGAACCCGGGCCTCCAGCATCGGAGTGCACGCACTTAACCGCTAAGCCACGGGGCCGGCCCAGGACTCTGTTTCTAAGCATGAAAGACTGTAGGAGATTTCCCTCTGCTTGTCCCCAGGCACTAAGCAAAGCCCCATGGGAAAAAAATCTGCCCAGCTTTTCGAGTGCCTCCAGGTTCTGGTCCGTTCTGCCAGCCCACACGGGCATCAGTTCTCGGCTGGCTTCTCTCTGCCCACAGCAAGCCCCGTCCCCACCTGCGCCCAGCTCGCGGACGCTGCTGTGGGGGACACTGGCGAGCCTCGCTCACCTGGGAGGGCTCTCTCCTCCCTGGGGGTTAGTCCCTCTACATTTCTCAGCATCCACATGTCTGATATATTTATAATTATATATGATTTCTTCTTTTTTTAAAGATTTTATTTTTTTTAAGTTTAGGGTGTATGATGCGATGAGCCAACATGTGAATACAATGTGAAATGATTAGCACAGTCAAGGTAATTAACACACCCATCACCTCACAGTTAGCTTTGTGTGTGTGTGAGTGCACAAGATCCACTCAGCAAATTTCAAGGATACAACCTGGTACAGTATTCTTAGTTGTTGTCCCCATGCTGCACATTAGACCCCAGAACTTACTCATCTTATAACAGAAAGCCTGTGCCCCTTGACTAGCATCTCCCCATCTCCCCTCCCCCCCAGTAACCACCGTTGAACTCTCTGAGTCTGTGAGTTCAACTTCAGTTTTAGATTCCACATATACGTGAGATCACACATATTTGTCTTTCTGTAACTGGCTTATTTCACTGGGCGTGTCCTCCCCGTTCATCCATATTGTTGCAAATGGCAGGATTTCCTTCTTTTTTAAGG